TAACATATAAATATTTTGCCACTATTTGTTTTTACTGTAATTTGTGGGAGTGGGCTATCTCCTTTGCAATGAATATAAATATAATACTTTTGGTGTTTCAAATGTAACGCTGTTTTTATTATACCTTTACCACAATAATAATGACCGAGGGTAGACACAAACAGATTTGAAACGGGCAATTACAGTGATTGTCCCTTGTCATCTTTAAAGACGTGGCAAGTAAAATTTAGCTTGTTTTGTATCGTGTATTTTAATCGGTAGAAGTAAGTAGCATTATTTATTACTAAATATCTTCAATACCTTTAGTTCTATCTAGGAGTTAACTACAGTTGTCAGATATGGAAATTATTGCTACTTTTAATTATAATCATATGACGATATGATTTGTTTCGTTCACTGCGATTTTATCTGTCATAAATCACTACTTAGATTTGTCATAGACTAAGATAAACGCCATCAAAATTAGATTTATTAGATTGGACCATTTTTTTTAAGATTTAGACCTTTAACGAGTCTGGCGCTTAATAATAGTAAGTCGCAGTGATGTTGTCGATGAGTCACAGGTGTGATGAAATGCCAATTCAGGGCCCAAACTATCATTGATCTAACATTAGCGAGTGAGCACGCATCGCAACCCATCTCGAACTGGCATGTTTGGAGCGAAGCATCGTGCTCGCACCATCGCTGGATCAAATTCAATTATGAAATTTATCTTAAACCACCCATGGACCGGAAACGGTATCAGCATCTTACTGCTCAAAAACTGTGAAGCTTTGACTCAACATATGCTCAGGGGACTGTTAAGGTTCGAGTTCGACATGCCACCGATAGGTGGTATCCGAGGGGATATCCGCACGGAAAAAGAAAAAGGGGGCTGTTAAGGACATTGATAGTTGTCAACCTTACAAAAACACTGATCGATTGTTTTTAACAAACATGCCCACTCTCTACAACTCGAACCGACCCCAGAATAAACACCGGTGTTGGGGACCGGAACTGGAAAAATACTTCATAAGGTGAGAAAGTTGTTCAATAAAGCAAAAAAACTTCCGACTAGACCAACACTGGGATACAACCTATAAGCAGGCCCGGCCACAATACAAGAAGCGAATCAGAACCAGGAAAACTGAGTGCTGGAGAAGCTTCTGTACCAATATAAATGACCGAGATTAATCATGCATTAACGAATTCCGAATTTCCAAGGCTCCAAGACTAGGTCAGGAACTGGAGCCGGAGTTTTCTCGCAGGACCTAAATATGAACATATCACTAGCGTAAGCCAACACCGTTCTATATTAAAATGCGAATATGAGTCAATAACCTACGCCGCCACAACGGCCATGCCAAGGGGTATTAGAGTTAGAGAGTAAAGGCATTAGAGTTCAACACAATGCCCTCTAGTATTGTCTTCGAATGCCATCAAGCATTGCTGCAGCTTACTACATTAAATGGGGTACTCCTCCAATGGATTAAGGGTACAATAACTCACAGGGGAACGACGCCGCAGATGAGTTGGCAAGGAGGGGCTCAGCAAACCCGGCTTGCAAGCGTACTCCTGCCATTACCGTTAAACCAACTACGATTCTGGGCCAGCCAATGGACTCGAAATTCACCTGGCTGCAGACAGTCCAAAATGATGATGACTGAAGTTACCCACCGACTCACCTGCAGATTGATCAATCTTAGCAGACTAGAAATCTGAATAGTTGTAGAAACTATAACAGGACACCTAGTCCTGAACCAAAAACTATTAACGCGGAAGCGAGGTTGTGGCCACACAACGGGCAAGTATCATTCCTAATACAAAATCGCTCCTAGAAGCCTGTTAACGAACCAGGAGGCTTCTGCGCTTCTGGAAGGAGCTTGGTTGGCTCACCTAGCCAACCTGTCCTCGACGCATAAAGGACCACTCTTGAGTCTAAATGCAGAAACCGGAGCCCACAACCAATACCATACGAATAGCGTACTAGAACTTACCGACCTCCTTGTCTATTTCGATCAATGTTTAGAATCTATTATACCCTGAACTTCCTGTTTTATTCAGTTACCTGTTTAAAAGGAACGCTATAATTACAGCTTCCTATGTTCATAATTTAAGTCACATAACAGCAAATGAGTCTGTGGCATTCAATAGTAATGAAGAGAGAAGCTGAAAAACATAATATAAAAGCTACTGTGCCATCTTCAAAGTAATTAAAAGGAACTTAAACTTAATTTTTAATATTTTAATTTTTTGCACTTGATTTTAAAATAGACTGGTAAGTAAAAAACGAAAATAAACTAAATATAAATAAAGATCTAAATCCTGATAATGTTACTTTTTTTTAATCACGATGTCGTTTATTTTAAATACTTTAGATTTTTTACACAATCTAAAATTAGCATTAAAATTTACCGTTTCTTTGTATAGTAGATACGTATATAAAAAAAGTACGTACGTATGTTCTCGGGGCTATCTTTCCAGGGTATACCTGAGTGCTTTAATATCTATCCACGGAACACCGTGTAGCTTTAGACAGTTCGATTCCGACAAACAACTTCACCGTAAACCATGATGAGGTAATGACGACCCCATGTGTGTGACCCAACGACGAAAAAATGTGTAGTACGTATGCGTTTACAAAAAAAAAACTGTATTTGTTTATCCGGGGCTTACCATACTACTTTGCAAAATATGACCACATATCCTAGTATATTAATAAACAACATTAACCTACATTACTATCATTAATGCAACTGCAATGCATTAAGTATTATGTATTTATGGGGCATGCCTCAACAGGTCTATTTATTTCGCTGAAGTTGGGAGAGGTTAACGTCCTGATGCACTATTGATCTACAGCCTCCGCCTACTTTATACGCGTACGTATATTATATCTAACGTTCTATTTTATGTACTATGCGGCACTCTAATAATACTTTTTTTCGGTTGAGTCGTAAGTGCTTAACTGTCATAATTGTAATGTCATATAGGAATTTTAGTACTTTATAGTTTAAAAAATGGCCGCAAAAATGCAGGACAACAGCACTGCAAAGAGGAGGAAAACTTGAAAGAAACCCTGTAAGAATCCTTCTGGTTAGCTTGGTATAGTAGGCCAAAATCTCCTTTCTAAGGAAGAGGCCTATGTCCAACAGTGGACTATTAAAGGCTGTTTATGTGATGATGTGAAAAAACACGCCTTTTTATTTGGCATAACTAAAAATATATTTTCTACAAGTTAAAAAAAACATTTTATCGCAAATAGCGTGTTGAGCAAGTCATTTACTGCATAGTAGACTTTATTTATTAAAAAGTCAAGTAGTCCCTTCTTATATAGACTAATAGGATAAGTCTGGGCATTTCTATGAATAATACGTATTATAACCGAAGTGGTAGGCAGACCGACGTAAAAAAAAACACTACTCCTATATACGTTTATCTTCCTTCTGAAACCCATACTTTGTACTGGGTTTAAGTACAGTTGTGTAATATTTTCTAGGACATTATTATAATATTATTATTAAGAGAAAAAAAACATTACGTTTATTACAAACAAAACATCGATCCTAATGCTATCATAATAGTGAAATAACGAGAGGCCTATCTTTCACATATGTTACTGTTTTCATTTACGACAACAGTATAATAAAATGCGGTACCCTCAGATTTGAAAATTATTACTGTACATCATTCTTGTCATCTGCACATATTAGTGTAGATAATCTATTCTTTGATCTTGTTAAAATTGAAGCCACGTCATATGACGATTGATACCACTCTGTCATCAATGCAATGTTCAGAAGCATTATTGATGCAAAACCGAATAGTTAGCGTGGTGTGGTATCACGAGGGCCTCCGATTAGTAAAAGATATATAGTACGTGGTTAAGTGATGAAAATGTGGAAAAAAAAACTTTTTTTTTAAACGGTATTGAAAGGTTTCTACGGGTTTGTGTATTGCTAACGTGGCTTGGATTCCATCTTACATTACTGTTGTTAGTTTCTATCAGCTGTATAAAAATAATACCAGAAAGGCAGCTAAATTTGTGTAGTTTTCCTTAGAGTGTCAATAAACACAGTCTATTATTAGTATTAGTGTACAAATACTTCCTATAGAAAATACTCATACAAATGTTATTATTGTACCATAACGATAACCTCGATAACCATAACGATTGTAGATGAGAATTTGCTTATTGAGAGCTAATTACTTAATAAGGGTTTGAGCGACATAAAAATCAGGCATATTTTCAATAGTTTTATTTCATACAAAGAACTTAAATCTAATTGATTCAATATTTTACTAGTTACTTAGTCTATATACACATGTATAGTTATCAAATTCGAAACATTTTCAAGTGAAAATTAAGATTATATGCTACGAATGCGGTGCATTATATTGTAAAGTATTTTAATTCCACACAGCACACAATGATGGTATTAAAGTACACAGTTCTTAAAGTTACAGTATACGATATATCTACATAAATTTCAATCTTAGAAAGGCACTATTATTCTTGATTAAAAGAAACAATTCAACTGAATACTTTACAATAGATACACCATAATTGATAAAACTGTTTAGTAAAAACATACTTGTTAGTAATTTTACAAAACTTGTAATGTGCAACACAAAGAAAAAATATACCTTAACGTGCAGTTTGATACAAATCCTGTGAAATACTAGGATGACATAATATTAAAATTCTGCTATTTATTCTTTAACAAACTGTCATCTAACTTCAATCGGTATACAGTCTTGTATACAGTCACTAAAACTAAACAAGTCACAGCTCAACGTGCAGGAGGGGGCGCCGTCAGAGCGCACTCCACGGAGGCTGCTACCGGCGTCGCCTCTACCTTGGTCCTCTTAAAACATATCCTTCGCCTCTAATTGCCTGAGTTCTAGCAATTATATTCTGATATGATAAGAAATTGGTTCTCAAGCTCTTTAGTTTTATTCGTAAAACTTAACCAGTCTTCATCTCTGCCCATATCCGGCCAGAATTCATTTCATCTACTTTATCGATTAAGACCAAGTGTGTTGCAGTACATTGCTTGTCGCGGTACCCTTTGTGTTGGCAACCCGGAGAGTCCACGTACATATGTGTAGGTCACGGGTGGACGAAGGATTATCTTTGGCTGTGTTTGTTTCTTAGCCTGGCGCGATCTTTTCTTCGGTGAACAGGACTGAGAGCGTGATGTCAAGCTTAGACTTTGGAAGACACGACGTAATGCCACTACGGAGCGATGTCTGCGGCGCTGTTCTGATCCGTCGCTTCCGGAATCACTAATGGAGCACGACGAGCGATCGTCATTGCGTCCATTTTCACCACTGTCGCTGCTACTCGAACTGCCCTCTGAATCAGAATCGTTGTTTCTTCGAGTAAGCCGACTGGCTAGAGCTTTAAGTAGCCCCCCACGGGGAGCGCTCATCGGTTCTGTCACCTCTTCCACTGGTGGACACACCACTATCTTCGGAGTCTCAGACTTGCGTCGCGTGTTATTTTTCGGTGCTCGCTGCTGTTCTACCATGGTTACTGCTGGTTGCTGATAAGTTATTTACTACCCAAAAAGTTAATTTCTTCGTTATTATACGACGTCAATCACTTTCTTTCAATTATACAATACAAAACTGATGTACTGGATTTTATTAAAATATTGATCAAGTTAAAGCAGATGTTGCAAAAAACTTTCTTGTTTTTCGATCGAGATTGTCGGTTTACGAGCGTGGGGTCGCTTGTAGTAAATGTGTCGGAAACTGTGAGAGGCTGGAGGTCTACCGGTGTTTATATAGATTTTTCAGCACATGCGCAGTGATACACTCGGCTTATTATGGGATGAGACACGTACACAGATTTACATTTCCTTGTGCAAGTAAATTATCACCTATTTTACTATTAGAGGGTTATTTTTAATAATTTATTCATGTGAGGTATCGTTTCCTAAAAAAAAAATTGTCACAACATAACACGTGCCTATACTAAGCAAACTTACAAAATACGCACGTAATATTTCGTATTTGTAAAGGATACAATAAAAGTGCTTTTTAGTTACCGCCGCACGTGACAAGCTCGTTCTATATTATTGAATCGCTACGAGTTTCTCAGAGCAACTTCATATTATGACTCTTAGTATCAATTATTTACAGGCGCTCTGTTAATTTATATTTCATCATCAGCCTATCGCAGAACAGGATTTGTCACACCATGAAATAGAATTGTCATCAAATATTTAAAATAGTGCCCATTCTCTAACTACATAATTTTTTTACGTCTTCATAGCTTTCTTTCTCTATCTCTGATTCCATTTGAGATATACTGTTCGTTTTTTGTGATATTGTTCATCATTTGAACTTTTGCCCACTCAAGTTGGTTGACATTCAACTTTAACTTAATGCTGTGAAAAAGTATCGTTTACCTCTAAAACCTAAGTTAAGCTAAGTTAAAACCTAAGTTAAGCTAAGTTAAAAAAAGTTTTTTTTTTAATTTAAAAAATTAGTTTAAATATAAATTACAGAGGTAAAATTATATACAAGCATGTAAAATTTATTTTGCGCAGGTTACAAATATGTTTCACAAATAATATGTCACTAAAGTCCATCTAATAATCTGTTCATCAACAGCCTATAATAGTCCACTGCTGGACATAGGCCTCTCCTTAGAAAGGAGGTTAAATAATGAAATAATAAATAATCTGTTACGTCTGTAATATTTATTAGTATTTAGAAAGGCAGTTATATCATGTATGCTTTGATTAATATTGTTTTGGAAGCTGGTTTGTTTTCGTCTTCTATTATTAGACTCGTGTCATAAGGTACAGAATATAATTCAGTCAGGTAAGTCGCTTATGTATAGAACAACAAGGGATGTATTATTATATTAGGGAAGTGTTGTGTAGTCTGTATTAATTTATAATAGTAGTAGTTTTAGTTAGTAGTTTTACAGTAACCATACATTCTTCTAATACCGAACGATATAACTTGCGAATGTGACTGTTACATGTATCTAAGTCAGATATTTGCTTAATAACACGATTCAGAATTTAACTCTTTCTCATATGAATATTAATGTCTGAGTTTTAATATACTAAGGTTTGTAGTACCCGAGTTATGTGTTGTAAAATATTGGACTGTAGTGTTGCAGTTGGTACTACCGACGTATGTTTATTGTGTGCGCGAGAACGCTGGTACCCTAAACTCAAGTTCAATCTTATTCTGGGTACTAGAGTTTATCGTAAATCCTGATAATACCGTGTTTGTAACGCTGTTTATGTACTTTTGTGCCATATTGAGAGAGAGAGAGAGAGAGGTTAAACGTTCAATTTCCGTTTATTGCAAATACTTTTAAGGATATGAATGGTCTGAAAATGAAAGATCCATGTTTTAGCACATATGGGTCAACTCGACGTGAGTGATACAACGGTTTCAAATACAATCAGCTTGAACGAGTTCTTGGTTGACTTTCACCAAGTAACTCTTCCTACAGCCCTCCTCTCTCCATAATCCTGAGAATAAAGAGCACTACTTAAAGGGGTAGAGGGCGCACTTGTGTCTCGTTAAGTTGCAAGCGTCCATGAGCGGCGATGGTCAACCATCGGTGGTAACCCATCTGGTTGCTTGCTCCCTATACCATAAAAATACTATTTTTATCCGTGTTCTAGAAGTAATAGTAAAATCTGTTATTAGTTTGGCTCTAGATAGCGCTGCGTAATGTCCATGAATCTTAGTATTATTACTGCCATTGAAATACTGCATAAGCCTGTATAAATGATCTATTACGGTAGAGAAAGTTTGTCAGGCAAAAGCAAATGACGGAGGGAGAAAGCCACGTTGGTGGCCGCGATGAAGGTACACTTTAATGACGCGGTTGGGATACAGCACGCGTCATGAAAGAGATATCATAATCTAAATAGTCAGAGATGATCTATTTGTACATTTTTATAATGTTACGAACATTTGATGTAACGTCTAACTTTAACACGTTTTCAGACTAGTAGACGCGAATATTTTATCCAGTGACTTTCATAACACGTTAAGCATGTATGTTTATTACACTATAAAAATAATAACAGATTAACCTGTAATTAGGAAATATGATGAAAGATTTTTTTATATTAAAAAGTCTTCTTAATTGTCCTGGAGAAGCCACCACGATAGGGACATATTAAAAATTATTAAAAAGTAGTAAGTTATTTACTAATTTAACTTGAGTTATTATATTTAATTTGAAATAACTATAAACCTGTAAAAAAACACATAAATTTCAAATGTTGACATTTTATGTTTATTTTTTAGTCTTAATTATTGAGAAAAATTCAGAAGATTTGAAATAAAGACTCGATATTTTTAATCAACTTGCATATTTATGCTTAAAAAAAAATTGCGTAATTATTAGTACTTAATTGGTTTAGTTTAAATTTTTTCCATTAAAAAATCATTTAGTTGAGTGTAAAAAGATTCATGAGTATTGATAAAAAATAAAACAAAAGAGTTTATCACCATTTGGCCTTCACATATTTTGTTATATAAATGGTAAAGCTAGTCTGTAAGTGACAAGAGCGATAGAACGTACATACACGTATGTCAGATCTCGAAACTATGATCTTTACTTCTATCTTCTGTTATGTCATATATTTCTACAGATTAACTACGTAGAAGACTACATAGAGGCTATTCTATATGTTTTCAGAAAATTCTATTTAGGTCTGGAAACATTTGGTTTGCCTTAAGGCCATCTGTAATAATATATTTACAACTTCGGTAATCGCCGCTGAGGCCTATCGAGTTTATTAGTTTATATTTGTGTAACTTAATACTCCATTCAAATATTTTGAAGCGTGTTTGATACATAATATGGTAAAAGATACTTTGTTTTCTGTGTGTGTCATCATCAACATCTACGGTAGGTACATAACATTTACATAACCTCTGCATTCCTTAATTCGTACACCAAATATTATAATATTATTAGTACATCGTAGTGGCGGCTCTTTATCATTATTCAGAACATGACATCGCATCGGTGGCGAGGGATTGAGCTATTTTAGTAAACATGCATTGTTCAACCATTGGCCCACAGACGACGTGAACTGACCGCTGTTCACAGCACGACTTACATATTGATGGATATTGCTAAATAAGAATTATTTTATGTTTTAAGCATGAAAATATTGCGATAGATATTTTTTATAACAGAGTAAATGGCGCAAGATTTGAGAGTTCAGTTATAAGCATTTATTGTATAAAATAAATAAATTACCGAGTGTTTTAATCCCTTCCCTTCCTCATTTTTTTAAGGAAATTAAGAAAAACAGTCCATTGTTCTACTTTTTTTTACTTTTACATAGTTTTTTTAGTTTGATGTAAAATTATCAGTTGTAATTGAATGTTGGCTTCATTCACCTCTCACAGAATGGTTTTGCATGTATTAGACATATGTTTTTTTTTAACTTCTTATCTTTTATCTTTTTAATGTTAGTAGCGCGGCATCATAAATTCTGCCAGCTAATCGTATTAAGCATATTTACACTTCCAGCATAACATAATATCAAACACTTGTTAGTTATATTTGTGGAAATATATCTAAGGTGTGTATAGAATTTCCATTTCTTCGGATTTCACAAAGCTGCTTTTTAAATGCATTACTACACATTTACATATCTATAACAAGTTGATACATTTGAAAAATGTTTTAATATACTATATAGTATACTATATAGTGTTGTTAGTTGGAAATCCTGGTGGGAGTCCCCGCACAGAAAAAAAAAGTGGTACTTGCGTCAATCGGTAGGTGACGCGACCCTCCCTGCTACAAACCCTGTGTTGGTTAATCCCTCGATTAATCAACACAGGGTTGTAGACTACATCGAATTATCAGAATGACGCATTGACTGGCGGTCATTAAATGTGCTTAGATACTTACAGTTGCATGCATAAATACACTCACCACTCAATTTATTCAAGATGTAAGTAACAAGAAATTGACTAAAATAATGTTAAAAGCATGTACATACGTAATGTGTATGTATATTATTAAATGAGGTAATGGATTAAAAATACGGATTGTCACCACCCCTATTCATCCTGTAGGTGTCGTAAGAGCCGACTAAGGGAAAAAACCTCGCAGGACAACAGCACTGCAAAAAGAAGGAAACCTTGAAACAAACCCTATACGAACCCGTCTGGCCAGCGTGGTATAGTAGGCCAAAACCTCCTTTCTAAGGAGATGGCTATGTCCAGCAGTGATGTGATGTATATCATTCTGATATGAGTTGTTTCTTTATGTACATGATGTACATGATATATTTATGTATAATTCTGATTTAAGCAAATTAAGTAGAAGTGCCTAAACAGTTCATTTACTGCTTTGTAAAGTGATTTTTTTCAAATTACTTTTATTAGTGTAATTTTTGTTTGTATTTAAAAATATATAGGTAGGTATGTTTATCAGCAGTCTGGTTACCATAGTACACGCTGTGCCTACTTTAGGATCAGATGGCCGTGTGTGAGATGTGTGAAGTCATTAATATTATTA